TTGCTCCATGGACAACACTGAATGGTGGCAAATCAGAAAGTTTGCGGGAAAGCAACTCCGCCTGTTTTCATATCAGGTAGAACAATCGGAGTGTTAAAAAGTCTCCAATGTTTTCAATCGTACATCGTTTCCGCTTGCAATTCGATGAAGCCTCCAGTGAAGATGATGAGCATAATACGCTTAGTACCACTACCAACAGAAGCTCCACAATACCCTCTGAGATATCTGACTGCCTCACATACCACGAAATGACAAACACCATTCCGCCCAGTTGATCGACATCGAGAACTCAACAGAGATCATAAAAATGAATCCTGTACCCGCAACCGGACTACGGTGGTCTACTAGACAAACTAGACCACCTAAGTACCTCAAACCAAAGACTACCAAGTCGATAAACATTGTATGTAAATTAAAAAAAGCAAAGAAAAAAAATCCATCTCTTTTGTTATTGTCCTTTCATTCTGTGTCCGTTTTTCTGTTATAAAGCGCGTTCCTCTCGCTCATTTTCAATCTCCACTAAGGTTTAGTTGTCTTTCCTTCTCCTTGAGAGTCACTTGTCTGCACGAGTTGGTATTCTATCGTTTGTAATTAATTAAACTAGACGTATGACGATCTGTCTCATTGGCGCTGCAATCCTAACAATTCCAAGCATCAATTCCCAGAAAGTAGTAGAAACTTATCCAGTGGGAACGTGATATACCTGTCCCCAAAAAATTGCTTTACCTTCCCAGGAAAATGATGTGTACTAATTTTAGGGTAGAAATTGTTATTCACAACCCCAACTTAAAGGCCGCTTTCCCTTCTAGAATTCCTCTGACAAGGAGCGTGAGCTTTACGTTAAAACAAACATAAATTGTCTTGACTCCGTTTCTCGGGCACACTAAGAAAAGTCGTAGTGATTTTTTTACCCACCTATTTTTTTTTATATATAAGAAATGAATTAAATGCTCTATAGCGGGGCAAGGATGTCTTTTATTGGAGCCTGACATTAATTTTCTTATTGTTTTCTCGGAAATTTACTTCAACGGTTAAGTGTAAGATTAAAATAAAAACGCTGACAATTCAATTGCTTTGGTAAAATAGATAAAAAAAAACAACGCTTGGTTATCAGCCGCTTCCTCAGAGGACGATAAATTGCTCCAGTGTTTCCTTAAGCGGGTGACAAATCGCTATTGCTTTCCTAAGCATCCCCGGTGAATAGTTGTTGCACCTAAAATCGGACTCGTTGTCGTTGCGGACGAGTTCAATCGTATTTATCAATTGCTCATGGCAACATTTTGTAGACACCGCTTTGGAGTGCATGTATTTTGAGAACTGACAGTATTATTTTAAAAGCAAATATTTAAAGAATATTTTTTTTTAATCTGAATCGATTGCCTTGCGTAGTTTCTTGAAGAATAATGTTTAAAATCTTCAGTCAGTTACATTTGTCAGAAGCAATTGCCAAGAAAGTAGTTCTAATACCATTGTCAGTCTGCGGACATACTTAAAAAAAAGCTCGTGTTTTTTATTGTTAAAGGCAAGTTAGTCTATCGTGCTATTTCAACATTTTAGTTTTCTTTGAAGGATGCCACTATTTGTATTGGACGAAATTGGTCGCCATTTTGTTGTTGGAGATGAGGGCGAAAACTTTTAGAATAAATCAATTCAAAATTTTCAAAAGAAATAAATTTCAGCAGGTGAAGCAATTTTCCACGTATTTTGATAGAAAGAAGGAGATAATTCCAAAAGAGGAAAATTATTTGTGTGTAAACAGACAGCTGAGAGCAGAAGAAAACCATTTATCGGCTTTGCAGTGTGTGTGTGTGTGTGTGTGTGTGTGTGTGTGTGTGTGTGTGTGTGTGTGTGTGTGAGTGAGTGAGTGAGGTGCCGCGTGGCTGGCTGAAATTAAGAAGACAGCCTGCCGGAGGAAGAAAATCCTGTTATTACATTCCGGGTCAAAAGTGAAAAAGAAGCTTACATATGCCTATTAATTTTATAGTTCTGAAAAGAACGACACCTAACCGCCGCCCTGGCTGAAAGGTGGGGGTAATCACCCATTGTTCACTGCATTTGTTTGCAAATTACGAGCCACGACAAACTGGTGTGTCGCGAAACAATTAAGCAAGCTGAAGGAATCATGAAAAATGAAATTTGTTTTCATAGTCAAATTTACGATGATTGATGATAAAATAAACTAAATATTATGTGAATAAATCTTGAATTCCGTAGGAGTTTTCTCGAACAGGACATAAGAATGAAATTACTAGCAATACGGGATAGAAAGAATTCAAAACGGGGGAATGAAGGTGTGTGTATGTGTGTGCAAATGTGTTCTTATTCGTACATATGTGTGTGCAAAATCATATTAAAAATTTTGAGATATGTAGGTTATCCCACTTTGCTAAAAACCGTTGTTAGGGGGCGCTCCTTAAGCCTATAAAAGGCGTGCATTTCTCTCTCTAACCTCTTTCACAGCTTTTTAGTTCTGGCTTTCAGTTGTAGGGTAAAGTGTCTCCCACTGGATCGTGTTCAGTTTGGAAAATTTTGCATTTATTATTTTGTGTTACTCTTTTTAATTGGACTCGTACTGAGTCCGCCAATATGGGATAAATTTTCCAGGAGACTAAATATTTCCAATCCAAAGTGTTGATTGCCGCAACATAATGGTGACTAATAGTTATCCAATAATAATAATATCCCGCAACATGTATTTGTAGATAATTTATCTGTTGGTTATCAGATATGTTTGTTCATAGTCAAGTAAATTTTGGGGGATTTGTAGGCTGTGATTGCGTTCAGTGCAACATGTAGTTCACTGAAGAGTTCCGCCAACTGAGGGAAACAAGATATGTTCTTGTGGTAAACAGCCCCGTAGAAGCAAGCGAGCCAGAGTGGCTTGCATCTGGTGTATAGGAAAATAAGTGTGTTATCTTAACGTGCGGCAGGTGACATCAGCAAGTTTGCTTCGTGAAAATGGCATTACTCTCCCGTCCAGCAGTATGTGCAATGATGAGGGTTTTTTGTACAGTTTCGCATGCTTCCACCAATAGCAAGTCGTGTGCTGATTGGTCGAACTGGAGGAGGCAATTTGCCTGTGTAACCGGGAATAACAGCGAAAAACGCTGATTGGATGGGGAACTGCAGTGTTGGCCTGATAAAAGAGTGCTGGAGCCGTGAAAAAGGGGACAGAAACGTTGGCTATATGTAGTGACGTGTGAAGAAAGCGAGGACGGTGAATTGAACCAGCAATATTGTGATTTGTACAAGTGACGTTGCACCAATACAGACTTATTTAAACTACAGTTATATCTTTGAGGTATCCTGTAGCTGAAAGAAATTGAATCCTTGCATTCTTTTCTTCAGCTTTTGGCAATGTGAATCTTCTTTGGTAATTATTGGGGGTCATCCTGTAGATGTTTTGCTATTTGTACCAGTATACTCATTCTTATATTTATAGTATTTGTAATAGCAATACACTAGTTGATGGGACTTTTGAAGGGAATGAGTTTTGAAAAGATACGTATATGCAGTTTATTGATTGTTTTTATTTGCTCTTTATAGTTTATCACGATGATAGGTTGTGATCTATACAAATAAACTGGAAATAATTATTGAAAACATATCAACAAAGTTAATGGTACTTCCATCGGAAATGAAAGCCTTCACAACCTTTTATCACTCAAAAAGCAAATCCCCGTCCTATTCGAAAAGTCCTCTTGAGTCTATAAAAGTCTTCCTGGGTCCACTACAATCTACTACATAAATATATATCACTTTCCAGTGCAAAGAAAAAATATCTCTATTCAGTAAAACAACAAAGTTGTAACCTAAGGCCGTTAACATCTGTTACACATGTTAGAGGTATATCAAAGATTTACGTAAAAAGAGGATTAAAGAAATACATACGTACATATCTCAAAGTAAGTTTCAGGAAAAAGCCAGAAAAAATAACTCATCTAAAATAAAACTTAAAATTAATAGAGGTATTTGGAAACAGATCACGATGTAAAAAAAAAAGAGAGCATTTTCACCAATCGCTGTTGAACTGAGAAAATTCAAAAAGTTTCAAATTTGTCATCCACTGAAAACAGATAAATATGTCAACCCACAGATGCTGGTTCGTCTACACAAATCTACGTCAAGTGGCTCCCTTTCCTGGATTTGTTTTTATGGCTTATCAACCTTTTGCAAGTTATTTAAACCAGAAAATATAATAAAATTGTAAGATTCTAATTTTTTTTATAGATATTAATGGTTTACTGATATAAGGATTACTAAATAACCCATTGATGAAAGGAGATAAGGTGGATTCATACCTTTCCCACGGATATTTGCGCGTAAGTCTAACGAACCCAATGGAAATTCGAACTCGGCTCTCCAATTAATAATTCCAGGCCATTATCCATTTACACCACCTGCACACTTAAGCTTACAGCACCCGGTATTCGCAAGCTGTCACTTATCTAGGTACTGGCCAGGCTTGACGTTGCTTAACTTCAGTGATCGGGCAAGATTAACACAATAAATGAATCATTTCGGCAATATACATGAAAAATTGGTAGCACGCAACATGAGCAGAAACTGAATCTAACGCAATTTTAGTAAGTTTATGTAAAACGTGAATCACTAACTAAAACTAAATCAAAGCTAAGAAATTATTTCTATAACTTCAACTAGAATTATTAAGTACATGAATTAAGTACATATTATAAGTAAATAATTATTTCCCAGGGAACAGCATCCACATTATATTTTGTCTATAAATGATGAAATTAACTGCAATTAAATGATGATAAAAGAACTTGGTTGGTTTTTACTAATTGGAGATAATAATGATTTACTGATACAAATCCAACTAATTAACCCATAGCTGGTGGGGGAGAAGAGGTGGATTCGTACCTTTACCCAGGGTATTTTCGTGTAAGTGAATATAAAGTACATAACGGGAATTGGAACTCAGCTCTTCGATTTTCAATTCCAAGCCGTTATCCCTTACACCATCTGCACATCCAAGTTTACAACACCTGGTATTCCAAAGCAGTCACTCATCTTGATACTAACCTGACTCATTGTTGCTTAACTTCGGTGGTTATACGAGAACAGGTTTTTCAACGTGACATGGCCATAAGCCTGCCTTTTCTGGAAGACGGGCGCGAAATGGCTAAAGATCAAAAGATTCACCGACGGCTGAAACTAAGTCAATATTTAGTTAAATGTGTGCTTCTTTTTCTTCCCTATCAGCTGTGAGTAATAACATTTACAAAATGTATAAACTTCGTCCATAACGGACGCATGTCTGTTTCTACGAACATTTACAAATAAGACGATTTTCCATGTGTAAAGTTAAATTATTTATACTATTTACATTCAAACTATTGAAGCTTACGGACACATTACGTTGAAACATTGGTTCCCGTACGATCACCAGTTAAGCAACGTCGAGCCTTATCAGTACTTAGGTAGGTGACTTCTTGGGAATACCAAGTGCTGTAAGGTTGGATGTGTGGGTGGTGTAATGGATAATGGCTCGGAATTATTAATCGGAGAGTCGAGTATCAATTCCAATTGGGTTCGTTATATTCACTTGTGAAAACAGGACGAGCAATAACTAAGCAGTAGTAAAAATAAGAACATGATGAGATATCACTAGACAATGGGCAGTGGAACAGGAATAGTTTACCCTCGTAGATTAAATGAAGGATTCAATTCGGAATTATCTGTGGGTTACGTGGATTGATACAGACCTGATGAAGGCCTTTGTCATAACGGTCGAAACTTTGTGAGCAATAAGATGAGGACAATAATAAATGTAAATAGTGCAAATAATGATAAACGTTGTCCCAGAATCTCTCTATATTTCTGAGATGAGGTATTATGTACACTATTTACATTATTCGGACTATTGTCCTCATCTTTGTCACCATATTTATTACAACGTTTCGTTAGATCCAGTGACATGACCTAAAGAGTGTGAGTTCAATACCTGGTTAAGGCGGTGGAGAACTTGGAGAAGGGAATTAACAGGAGATATCTGATGACATCCATTAGACATGGCATGTGGAACTAGAACAGTCTACCCCAGTGAGCGAGATAAAGGGTTCGAGATTCCAACCACCTGAAGAAGGCCGGAGCGTACAACGGCCGAAACGTTGTAATAAGTATGGCAACAAAGATGAGAACAATAGTCCGAATAATGTAAATAGCTTATCCTAGAAATCCACACGCAATGTTACATAAGCACACTTTCATTGCTGAAAATAGTGTTGTAAATATGTAAACAGCAGTGTAAGATTTTCCACAGTTATTGGAAGTTTATTTTTTTTATTGATTTTGACTGACAAGTTACTGATACCACTGCATAATAATGCTGATCAAATGAGAATAGAAGGTAGAAATGTCATAATATGAAAATATGTGGGAAATTTAACGACCCCCCCCCAAAAAAAAATCGAGTCTTTGCTTGATGAACAAAATGAGACAACTGAACATTGTAAAAGTATACTCTATATAAGAAATACATTACATAACGAGAAAGAAAATCGAGGGTTGCTAAAAAGGTAATCTTTTAGCAATTAAAAATCAAGACATCGAGGACGATATCCAAACCATGTCGTCTATTTGAAAGAGATGAAACACTTTTCTGAAACTGTCCGTATTCTGCTTCCATGAGCTGCTTGTCCTTGTATTAGTCATGTTTGCCAATATCGCCTGTTCTGGAAAACACGTCTGTCCCGTTCGGGATCACCTCGGCTTCTGCCTTGGCGCCTAATATCTGTTTCGCGCCTAATTTTGTGTTATACCCATTATTATCAGATGAAATATGTCTGGAAAGAGTTATCTACTAACGGGAGATAAAATCTAGGTCTCAGTAGGCGTTATCTAGTAAAGGAAGATAACCTGTATTTTATAAATAAAAAGAAACAATAGAATATAATGTTAAACAAAGGCCTAATGCTGCGAATTGCTGAAGCAAAAGCAAAGACGGCAAAATTACTCATATCAACTCCTAAAGATGAAAAATTCTTCCTACGTTCTGTTGGAATGGATACTATACGAGGTGTGACAGTTTAATATCTGGGATGACCATGTGAAAGCAAAGTTTGCTTATCTGGACAATAATAGCCGCTTTCCCTGTCAAAGTTGCGAAGTTATGCACTTCGTGCCATTGATAGAAACATTCTTAAACTCATTTTCTGGATGTTATGGTGAAACACACCCATTCTATAGTTAATAGACTCTCCCACCTAATATAAGTAGGAGTAGTAAGAGAAACGAGGGTCAGTCGACAGTTAGTCGAATACGAAAGTATCAGCGACCACAACAAGATTACTCTGCGTAATACTTATTATATCAAGTTCCTAACGTTTTGTACGTCGAACCTATTTTAGGACCGACTTAGTACAAATACAACCCTCCACTGCGAAAATGCTCCACAACACTGGATTAACTTTCAGTCGTGTAATCATGTGTTGCTGGATATGAGTGAGGTCAACAAATCTTTTTTTTTTCTTTCTGGGTATTTTTAAGTTTGAGAAGCAGCGAAAAACCAGAGAAGTCTAAGTATAGTGGATAAAGTGGATGGCTTCTTTTTGTAACAGATTTTGTAGCCAGGAACTTGCAAATTAATTGTAGAAGTTAAAAATATGCTTAATTTGCGAAAAATGGTTAAAAAATTGGATCCAGACAATGGCCTCAAAGATTTTACAGATGGTGAACACGTATTTTCAGACATGGATCAAGTAGAGAACACACCCCGTAGTTTCAAAAACAATTTTTCACTAATCAGAAGCGAAATAAAAAGAGATTTGGGTCAAGCCTTTTGGTGCTTCAGAAAAGCTATAAAACTGGCGATTTTTATTAACTGGGGTCAAACGTTCAACTTGCAAAAGACATCGCATTCCTGTTGACCAATATTAAAAGACATCGCACTCCTGTTGACCAATATTAAAAGACATCGCACTCCTGTTGACCAATATGCCACTAGAATATTTTACAACCTTACAATTTCCTGTATTTTATTCTTCTAATTAATTCTTACTCATTTACGATCCAATTTTCTCATTGTGGTTCTTGTTTTGTCATAACTTTACTGAAAATTGTCAAATCGTGTTGTTTTCTATCGCTTCTCTTATCATCAATATGCTCTGTGAGTGTTAAATTCTCTAATCCTTCTTTCCTCAATAACAGCTGTCACTTTGTAGTTTATATTCTTGTTATAACGAGCGTATGGTTTCAACGGAACGAACAAACAAGACTCAAAGTTTCAACGACATGTATTGATCAGAAGATATACATGGTTTTATGAAATGGGGGAAAAATTGTTGAATTGTGGTTCTTTAATTGCTGTTGGTAAGGGAAGCGATTAGGTTAAAAGGTGTTGTAGGTAAAGCCGGGTGCAGGTAGCGAGTTGGTTGAACGAGGTCATGGTTGAAGTCAGGAGAGAGGACTGGAGTTGATTAGTGAAGCCATGTGGAAGCATGAGTGGTGTGTCGTTGGCGGGGTTGATCTATCTATCTTCAAGGTTGAAATCGACACAGCTAGTATTGTTTTCGGTTGAAATTTATAAAATCTTTCTCTTAAGACATTTTTCGCAGGAAAATAAGTTTATCAAGACTAGTAGCTGTTAGAACTCTGTGAATTGGCTGGTAGTCATGTCATGAGGTCGAAGCTTTGAGTCGATCCACTTGTTGTCGGCGAGGCCTGCATTTTTATATCTGAGCTTTAACAGGTGAAGGCTCATCCTTTTTTTTTCGGCAGCAAAGTTCGTGATTGGCTATTATATTTCAGATTTTTGAGGGGGCTTCTTTTGTGGACAGGTTATGATGCTTGGTACCTCTCCGCTGAAGACGACTCTTTTTTTTATTTTGCGTTTTACTTTCTTAGTGCTTAAATCCGGCCGACATGTCTACTGAACGTATCTGGGAATCAGAAAGAGATCTTTATAAAAGTAGTATAATTATTCTATTTAAGATTTCCTCGTTTCTCACATACTTTGCGTCTATAATTTTTAACATTCCTTGTGATCTTTTTTTCATGTGTGGATATTGTCCAGTATTCACTGCCATATAGGAGATGATTACTAGCACTGGTCTCTTCGTTTCTAAAGACATCTTTAAACCTTCAAATACTTTGCTTAATTTCTGGAATGCAAACTTCGCTATTCTTATTCGTCTACGGATATCTGTGTCTCACTGTTAGTGTTGTTATGCACCGTTTCATATTAGAACTCTTTCTGATTCACTCTACATCAAAACTTGTCGGCCGGATGTGAACGCTACGAAAGCAAAATTAAAAATAACGAAAGTCGTTTTCTGCGTAGGGGCTCCGAGCATCGCATCCGGTTCACAGACCATTCCCGCAATAAAAAAAAGCCAGTCACGAACATTGCCGCTAAAGCTAAAACATCACTAAAATGCTGAGTCATGTATTCAACTTGACTACTTAAAAGGACTCCGCCCTCAAGGACGTTCACAGCGGATGCTCGGCCAACCGCTATGATGTAAATTTCAACGCGCGGCGTTTACAAAACTATATCTCGCCTGTCTGCGAAATCAGACCTAATCGCTCACAACCGTCATCTCCCTCGCCTACAAGTGACTTTCTATATTTAATCCAATCCAATAGATACATTGATAATACAATTCATTTGAAATTGACTTATCTTGTTTCCTTTTCTTTCCGTCTCATCGGCAAAACGCTTTTGTTTTATGTTTGTTACTCTTGTTACAACAGCATCCTACCAGGATAGTTAAATATTTGCACCTGCTTGATTTTTATAATCCCAATATGTAACACACATCAGCCAGTCGCTTTTATTGGCAACCATGCATTCTCTTTATTACAATTAATGATGGCTTTGACTTTTTCCTTCTGAATCTACCAACAACGGTTTCGTCTACGGAGCACATTTTAAGGTCATGCCTACCGATGATAAATATATTTTCTGTCCTGTTTCTTTTATTTTTACTGATTTGTTTATTTTTCCTCCACCTGTTGCATTGAATATTGCTGCCGCATCGGGTCTGGTGCTCATACTATATATTTAGAGATTCTTGATAAAATCCAAATGCAATGTTATTGGTCCTGACCTGTCATCTCAGCTTCGGTCACTTAACCAGCGACATAACATAGCTTCCCTGTGCCTTTTCCTATAAATACATTCATTGGTAACTGTTGTGATGAACTTTGGTACCTAGACTTTATGAATTTAAGGTCAGTACCAGATTGGCAGAAAGGTCTCACCATTTTACTCTTGAAATGGATAGATGTAACAATAAGTTCTATGCTAACTGTTTCTTTTATTGCACTTCTGGATTATGGAACTCTCTTCCGTCTTCTTGTTTCAAAGTAAACGCTGATCATCAAAACTATAAATGCAATGCCAGTCGTTATTTCCTATCTACTTAATTCTTGTAATTTTATTGTCTTTTCTCCTTAATAGTATATTTTCTCGTATTCTACAACATTCAGTGACCGTTTGCGTCTTAGTGGCT